CCCTTCAAAATTCAAATTCCTGAGGAATTGATTACATTCGTTTTTACTTGGATGCCCATCCCTACTGCCCCAGTTGGCCTAGAGAGGACTGAACACCTTCACTATAGCTTTGAAGGCAAGACTAGACGGTTCATCATGAAAATTCAAGACACCGTCACAAAAAGGAACAATGGATCTTGGACCAACAAAAACAACAGATGTTCATTTTACCATTCTAACTCCATTTTTAGGTGAAGAAACTGAGTCCCTGAGGTAAAATGTTCTCCTCAGTCCATGATGAGGCCAGAATTAGAACATCACTTTCCCATCTGCCAGGACTTTCCTCATTTTACTACTTTTTCTCCTTCACACATTCAGTCCTTTTAAACCTCTCTCTTTTAGGAAAATGAAATAAAATCTTACATTGCCTCCCCAAACTGCTGTGAAGTGGGCTGATGTCTGAGAAATACATTACTAAATTAAATACACTTTTTTCAACCTTAAAGATAAATGCCAGACAAATATCCCAAGGATGCATGGTTGCCAAAAAACTGAGGAAGAGTTTGTATTTGACTGTGAGCACCCAAAACCAACACATAGGAAAATGACTTCTTTCTTATCTCAGGAGTCTGACAGTTTTAATGATCATGTCAAATGCATTTTCAGTCATATTTTTTCCAGGTTATTTGTGCTATGAAGTACTCTGTCTTGGGAAATGTCAGAGTGCTGTGCTTTCAGTAGGTGCCGTTTTTCATTTGAATGCACTGGAACAGGATTTCCACTGAAAAATATTCAAGTTCTGTGAGGCACATTAAATTGTTTTTAATGCCGCTATTATTATGAGAAGCTGCAACCAGCAAACCTGAAGCAACATTCAACATATAAGTTCTGCCCTTGGCGCAAACACGGATGTACATGGTGAGTGTGGGGTGGAGCATTTTTAGTTCAGGAATGTCCTCTAGTAGCCTCAGTGCTGGAAGTGGCTCAGAGGTCAACTCTTCCCGAAGCCTTCCTTGGCCACCACACTTGAGAAGTTTCTCCATAGTAATTACAACTGCATCCTAATTGTTTCCTTAGTAGCGTACATCACAAGAGGTAATTATATGTTTGTTATGAGAGGCAGTGTGTGTAGTAACCCCTAAGATCATAGAGCTTGGAGGGGCGCCTGGATGGTTCAGTTGGTTGGGTATCCAACTGTTGATCTCAGCTCTGGTCTTGATCTCAGGGTCGTGAGTTCAAACCCTGTGTTGGGCTCCACACTGGACATGGCGTTTGCAAAAAAAAAAAAAAAAAATCACAGAGCTTGGAGTAATCTACTGGGTTCAAAATCTCAGCTAATTGCAGTTGTTGCCCTTGCATACAATAATTAACCTTTCTGAGTCCCAGGTCCTGTAACCGAAAAATGTGACACAATGCTATGCAGTTCTTAAAGATGTTGTCAGATTTAAATGAAGTTAACTGGTGCAAAGCATTTCTAAAAGTGACTCATCTGTAGTGAGTATCATGTAAGTCCTTTCTATTGTTATGATTAATTTATTGTCCTGCGTCTCTCCCCTTCCACCTGCATTAGACTATGATTTCTGTGAGGGCAGGAACCATATCTCTTGTTTTATCCAATGGGTATCCAGTAAGAAAAGTGCCTCCCACATATTAGGGGGTCAATCAATATTTGTAGGTTGAAAGGATGGATAGATGAATGGATGGACCAATCTGATAATGTCCCAAGCGCTTTCACATATACTGTCACATTCGAGGTCCCAAGTGGGGCTGTCATATGGCACCAATACGTCTCTCATTTTATGTATTAAGAAACTGAAATGTTGGGGCACCTGGGTGGCTCAATCGGTTAAGTGTCTGCTTTGGCTCAGGTCATGATACCAGGGTCCTGGGATCCAGCCCGCTTGAGGCACCCTGCTTAGCAGGAAGTCTGCTTCTCCCTCTCCGTCTGCTCGTCCACCACCTCACTCATGCTCTCTCTCTCTCAAATAAGTAAATAAAATCTTAAAAAAAAAAAGAAACTGAAATGTGGAGTAACTTGCTTGAAAGCAGATTTCAAATATAAATCCTGGGCTTGAGCTCTGGTCTCTGACTCCAAATTTCATTCTCTTCTGGTTCAATCTTTCATTTCTTCTTAATGTTTTCCACCTCTGAATCCCGTCTACAAGATTATTCTATAGAAGAGGGAAATAATTTGCCCTGTTCATTGCATTGTTTTGAACATCAAAAGTTAAAGTAGGTAAAATACATCACACTGTTACCCCAATGTAAAATTATTATTGTGTTTAGTATTTGGGGGATTGCAAAAGGTAGCTGGATTGTTTTGTGAAATGACTTTAAAAGGGAAAGAAAATATTTTAAAAGAGGTGGGAGAGAAGAAAAGAGACTCTGGTAAAGGGAGGGATAAAGGATTTACAATAGGAATTGGCTTTGAATTTGAAGCATTTCCTGATCCCAGACCATGTGGTCAGGTCACGCTGGTCAGGCCACCTAGAGAGAAAAGGAAAGTACCTTTCTAACGTTTCAATAATTTCTTGAATTATTGAGGTGTGGTCAGCGTGCATCTCTGACATTTTATCACAGGTTTTCAGCTCTTGCCTAATGACATTAGGGAGCTACAGTTTTAGCCTTCTGTTTCACCTCCCCTTCATATAGAAAAACTGAGTTTCTTGGATGATAAATTCAGAAATCTTATTTTTTACCGCTACCGCAACAGAATCACAAATTCTGTTAAGCAACTAAGAGAGTTGAAAAAAGGAAACACCCACAAAAGAACTTTGGTAGTAATGAGAAGTATAATTGCTGATTAATAGCATGATGATTGATAAACAGAATTGACTAACAATTATTGAACATTTAGTATGTGGAAGAAACTACATTACATGGTTTTATATGCATTGCTTATTTCTTTCTACCCATATCTCCACCTACCTCCATCATTTAATTTAATTGATTCATTCATTTCTTCAACAAATATTTACTGAACGCCTATATGCCAGGCACAATTTCAGTTACTAGGTAAGACTTACTGACCTTTTAGAGCTTATATTCTAATGGGACATAAAGTCAATAAAAGTCAATGAAAAATTGACCAATAAATACTGGATAAACTATCAGATAGTGACAAATTCTATGAAGAAGAACAAAATAATGTGTAAGGATAAAGAGTAATGGAGGCCTGAGGTGATTAATGCTATTTAGGTGGAGTGAGTGGTCCTGAAGAGTTTAAATTTGGGCAAAGGTATGAGTTAAGTAAGAGGTTAAGCCATACAATGTTGCCAGAAGCGCATTCCCGGAGAAAGAAACAATCAGTGCAAAGTCCCTGAGGCTGTACAAAGCTAGGCTGGGATTTCCAGATCATTAAGGCATAGAGCAATAAATCAGGCAGAGCCCTGGGGTAGGGCTTTAAGGAAGATATGGGGAGGTTGGATTTTCTCCTGAGTGTGATGGAGAGCCTTGGAGGGTTTGGACAGAGGAGTGACACAACTGGATTTACTTTTCAGAAGATCATTCTGGCTCCTCCTGCATAAGAAAAGGTTTGTAGGTTATAGGGCTAACATGAGTAGAGGCTGGTAGAACAGTCAGGAGGTTATTGTGCCAGTCCAGGAAAGAGACAGTGGTAGATGTGGAGGGTGAGGGATGGGGGCAAGTAGTCAGCTTTGGAAGGTAACATAGTTCTCTTCTGATTACTTCTACTCTCTGGGTGAAATGAGTTGATGTCATTAGCTGAGAATGACAAGATTTGAAGAAGAAGAAAAAAAGTGTGAGTTGGTCCCCAGAGAGTGAGAAAGTGAGCAGACTTTGGAAAAATACTATGATTGTGGGGTAGTGGGGCCCGTTTGAAGTTCATGGTCATCAGTCGAATGTGAGACAATGCCACATGGTTGTGTGTTTTTCTCTACACACCTTCAGTTGTTCTGGCAAGGGCAGAGAATCTGGTTTATTTGGGGCTGGGATTTTGCTTGCTTAGGAGTGGTGCATAGGGAGGTGGAAATGAAGGTTTGTACAGCTGGGCTCTGGAACCCAAGAAAAAGAGGGCATAAGGTTATACTGCATGTGAAATGTGGACATTGGTGGATCAGATTGTCTCGCTGCTGCCAAAGATCTACTGAAGTGTGCTGTGGACTGAATTTCTGTGTCCCCTCAAAATTCTTAGGCTGAACCCCTAACCCCCAATGTGATGGTATTTGGAGGCAGGGGCATTTGAGAGGTCATTGTTTAGATGAGGTCATGAGGGAATTGGAATTGGAGTCAGATGCTTGAAATGGAGACCTTGAAGAGATTGGGGCACGTGATCATGGAAGTGGGTTATCTTTATTAGTATAATACAGTATGTACAGTGTTTTATATTTGCTGGGTGTTTTTCTCCTTTGTATCACTTGACCCTTCTCGGTTGTCAGAATAATCAAAAAGTTGAGACCAGCCAAGGTCACTGTCAACAAGGTGAAGGCCTTATTCTAGATTAAATGTCTGAAGAGGTGCCTCCTATTACAGTTAGGACTGTGATGTTGGCTTTGTTCTGCAGGTGTGATGATGCGGTTAGAACATGCCCTGGCCTTTGGGCTCAGTGAGAAAGCCCACACATCTGCCTCCCTTGAGGCAGGGAACCCTCACCATTCCCAGGCAGGTGATGGTGTTTCTCAGCAGGAAGGTGTTGTAGGGAGCCAGGGAGTCTCCTAGGGGCCCTCATTCCTGGAGAGCCGCCAGCTCTCAATAAGTTCCCACCACGGCCTACTTTTCAGAATGGGATCCAAGTTTCAATTTCATGCAGGTAGAGATCAGTGTGCATGCTGTGGGTCAGTGCGCAGGAGCTGGGCTTCTGCTCTCCAGCAATCCTTAAGTAAGCGCCTGGAGCGGCCCAGGAGACTTTCCAGGGGGGCGTGGGTGTCTTAGCTCCTCAGCCTCGCTGCTGCAATATCCAGGGGTGCGTCCCCCCTTTTCCGATTCTTGACGTCAAGCTCTGACAGCGCGGAGCCCGGCAAGGGCGGTGGAGAGCGGAGGAAGGGTGGCAGGGAGGGGAAGCCATTGCAGCAACAGCTTGTAGGAGGGAGCTGGACGTCTCTCGGTGGAGCAAAACCCGGAGCGGGGGCCAGAGGAGGGGGAGGAAGGGGACCTGCCCGTTTAGGGAGCCGCCGGGTTGCTGCAAAGAGGGGCGGGGAGAGGCGGGGGCGCTGCATGCAACGCGCTGGCTCCAGCGGCGCCCGCGGGGAATGTGACATCAGCGGCGCCGGACGCTTGCGGCTGGAGAAGGTAGCTCGCCTCGGCTGCGCGGTGTACACCTCGCCCGGGGGAGGACGCGGACTAGGGCAGGCGGCCGGGATGTCGGCGAAGGAGAGGCCAAAGGGCAAAGTGATCAAGGACAGCGTGACCCTCTTGCCCTGCTTTTATTTCGTGGAGGTGAGTTGGTCCAGCTCCTTGGCATAATGCAGATCTTGCGAGCAGCTCCGGAGCGAATTCGGGTCTTGGACGGTGCTGGAGGCGCGGAGACTGTGCCGGGGAGCGCGCCGCTGCCCTAAATGCCCGACCCTCCCCCTTCCCCTAGGTTTCTCCGGAGCTCCCCCGAGTGTGCCTGTGAGTGTCTGCCAGCCAGGGGTGATTATCACTGGTGGTGTCGCTGCTGGGTGGCCTGCAGGGAAGAGATACCTGTGTGAGTGAGTGTGGGGCTAGTTCCCTGGCCCTCCTGTTCTGCCGGTGTGCACAGCGTCCGTGGCCCACCGGGGCCATGATGCCAATATTTCGGGATTTGTGTTTTCAGTCCACGAGTACGTATCTAGAACTCTGTGAGCTTTTGGTAAGAATTCAACTGCATACAGCCATGCTCAGGACTGAGGTCTGGGGATGTTTATAGAGCACTAGAATTACTGACTGCTTTATTAACACACACACACACACACACAAACGTTCCCCTATTATAATTACTATGGTGCTCACATCTGCTTCTAAAATTGGATCTGCATCTCTAGGCATCAATCTATTGGCCCTTTTCCATGGCTAACAAAAATTATACATACCTGGGTACATAAATGTATGTGTATACGTATGTATATATGTATGTGTAACATTTAAAAAATATGTGACACAATCTGCTTTTGCATGATTTCTACATGTACATTTATTTTGTGCTGAGCAGTATTAAGGATAAGCAATTAACATGCAGATGCAATCATAATGAACCTCTAACTTACCAAAATGCAGTATTTAAGAAAGGAGCAATTTATGGGAGGGTCATAAAGATTGACAGGTACAGTGATTCCATGCACCGTGGTCCATTGCATTAGGAAGACATTTTTTGGGCAAGAGGTTTATTAAGTCAGAGGTAGAAAAGAGATACAATGGATAGGGTTAGAGAAATTAAATGGTTTTAGTCATAAAATTATGTTCTGTAATTAAAACCTGGATTGCAATAGAGAATATTAGAGTGTTGAATTATAAATATCTTTCATTGGCCGTCTTTTCAGCCAAATATGGAGGTTTAGCACTTCCAAGTACAGATAGTAGAGTCTGTATTTGATGAGGGTGAGGCTTATCTATATTGAGGGATAGCCATTGCCTTGAAACTTGGGGGAAGGGACATTGTCAGATGGTTCTTGTAGAGGACAGTATATTTGCAAATTTCTCTTAGGTGTCCCAAATTCTAAAAATGGTTTCAGTTTTAAGAAAGATGTATGTGACTTGCATAAGTCTCAGAAAAATGGTGGGTGACTCCTTCATCCATGACCCATAGGAAAAGAAGGAAAAGGGAAAAAAAAAAGAGGTATCCTGTTTATTTAAAGTAATTAATTGATTCATTTATTTTTGCCTTTTCTCTTTCACAAGGGATTTTGAGGTCATGGTTTAGATAATTTTGTTGAAAGATAATAGTTTCTCCAGAAAAAATGTGGACAGCAGAAGATTCCATGATGAAAAGGGAAAATAATTAGAAAGAAAATGGGATACCTGACTTTAAGCTAAATCATGTCAGGCCACTTGTCGCATTGCTAAGCCACTGTGGTTTTATACTAAAGCACTTTCATCCATGTCCGGACCCCTTATGTGTTCTAGGAGAAATCCATTCATTTCTGGGTTCCACCTCCAGGATGGAGCACACCTGAGGTCAGCTAGAAGCTGACCACATATGGATTGCAGCTGTATGGCTTCAAGGAAAACACTTTTATGAAAGAGGATGCAAACCAGAGAATTAAGAATATGCCTTTAAAGAGTCTATGTGTGCACTTTTGAAGTACCTTTCACAGCGGTACATACATATCACTTAATCTAAAATTTTATAAGCAAAAATGCCTCATAATGCATTTGAAATGTGTCTCTAGGACCAAACATCTCACAAATGTCACTTCTTTTCCATGAGTGGAAATAGCCCCAAATCATTGCATTCCCTTTGACCCATTCAAATAACCCTCTACAAATTCCTTAGCAGGGCAAGCTATAGAATAATTACTTGAAGACTATGCATGGAGTTTGAATGAGCATTAATGACATTATATCCTGGGGGTAACAGATTTCAAAGTGAGAGCCACAAAAAGTGGATTGCAAATTATGTCCCTGAAACTTCAATGCATGATGAACCACTAAAGAACCTCTAGAAAATTGGAGAAGACATTAGTGCACCAATTATTTAAGGGGTTGACAGGATGCACTACCAAGCTTCTTTGGAATGACTCATTTTGAAGCCAGTGAGAATGAGCTTTGTATCTCCTTTGGAGGATGAATAAATAGCAGGAATTAACATGTCAGTAAAATGCTTTAGAAAAATGACACTTTGTTTTACACATAGTTTCCTAAGACCTTAGTAATTAAAATGGAAAAGTGAAACATGAGCGAATCTTCCATCACAGACCAGTGCAAAGCATGTATCTCAAGCCTTTCTCTGTTACCTCAGACAATAATTTAAGCCCCCCCTCCTCCCCAATTTCTAGAGGTGGTTCGGGTTCCAGAGCATTCCTGAAATGGACCTATTTTAATGGACAGGAAAAGAGAGAGTAACCAACGGAGTGCTATTTACAGTTTGTACAGTAATAATGACAACCATTTATGAAGCACTTAATAGATACTAGGAATAAAGCTAAATGCTTTACCTGCACCATCTCATCCAGTTTTCAAAGGTTCTCATTAAGAAAAACGCCATTATCATCTATGTTTCAGAGAAGAAGAAACAGAAACTCATGGAAATTGAACAACTTGCCTAGGGTTTACAAAGCCGGGTCAGAGGTAGAGCTGGGTATTGATTCAGAGCATGTGCTCCTAACCACTGCACCAACTGTCTCTCCCCACACACTGAAAGAATATTCACAGGGGCAAAGTTACTGCCTGTGGTCTCCCACTGGTAAACACAGGAATATATAGTTTCAAATAAAGGCACATCGACAAAGATGACAGTTTTTTCCATAGTTTTCTTCCTCAGCTGAGTTTCTCCTCCACAGGGTCCCTCAAGACACAAAGGCTGGTGGACAGTGTCCACTCCCCATACTCATTCACTAGTTAGCTGCTAGGGTCCCCTCAACAAGTCCCCATGACCAGGTACAGAGAAAGAGTGGAGACCCTGGCAGTCCAGGTGCCCAATGTCAGAGGGTGGAGTTTACATCCTTGTGGGTACTGGGTTAAGTGGTTCAGCCCCTAAAATCAAGTATTCTTGTCCCAATTCACCACCAAACTCAATGTTAAGCAAACACTAAATTAATGGATAGAATTCATTTCTCTTACATCTTTGGTTTATGCTGCCAGCTGTCTGCTGACGAAGGGGTTTATGCTTGACAGTAACTAAATATATTAATATTACATGGTGATTTGAAAAGCACATGATGATTTCCAGCGGGGTAACTCGCTTTATGAACAAGTTTGTTAATTTGGTTTTGCATTGTTCAACTTGAAAGAAACTCTCAAACAAGCATATCCAAGGCCTTATCAGGTTGAACAGAAAAGCAGGTTAAAAAAGAATGTTCCACTGAAGAAAAGGTTTCGTTTGCCCTTAAAAGTTCCAAAGCACTCTCCGACTGATGGTTGTGTCACTTGGTGGCGATTGCAGCTGGCAGCACACCTAGAATTAGTAAAAGGTCTTTCAAGCTTAATCATCCAACATTACGTGTGATAAGGCTGATTGTCTGGGTGCCAAATGCATTTCTTTTATACAAGGCATCATAATGATTGTGCTTAGACTCATCATTTTGTTCTCATCAGTCATCCTATTCAAAGATATGAGTTCACATCAATTCAGTAGGTAATATAAACAAATGACAAATACCTTTTAAGCCAAAAAGGTATTTATTCTTAATAAATAAATGGGAAAGAGCTTTTTTTCATTTAAATGTTCTGTTTTATGACTTACACTTTTATTACTAATCTAATGTTCTTTTTAGGGGGGTCGAAGAGCTGTGTTTGACCAATATGCCAGGATATTTTTATAGGATCACAGAGACAGATCGTTTGAAATTCTTGTTTTTCTACACATACACACACACACACACCTGTACACATAGGCGGGCACAAACCCAGGTTGAGTGAGACTATCATCTCTCTCCATTAAGCATCAAATAACAGTATCTGAAGCATTCCAGATTCAGAATATTTTAAACACAACGAACTTGAAATTATCCAAAGTTTTCACCAGTTTGAATGTTGTACTTAACAATGGCTATGTTTCAGGATTTTGTTAAGGCAGGTTAATTACTGTAGGGTTGGTAACCAGACAGTATGTTCGAGAATAAAAGCCCTTGTTTCTCGGTTGCTGTCCTACCTGGAGAATTTCCAAAAGCCTTTATTTGAGCACAGATACCCTGGTTAGGTCAGTCTGAACGCCACGCCTAGACATTCTGGTGTCCTGATAAAACGTTAATCTGAATTTTGTTTTCTTCCCACTGGAAAGTGTCCACAGATTCTTAATTGTGGCAAACCTTAATTCACACAATTTCTGTTCTAGCTCATGATCTGTGTGAAAATTATATAACTCATTTGATCTTCTCACTGGAAAATATAGCTAGCTTATTTCCTTCTACATAAACGTTGGCATCAGTAAGAAGTACAAAATCACATTTCTGCATTGCACATACCAAAATAGTACCCGAAGGCTTTTCCCTTTTCTGGATGGCATGGCGAAATAGTCTGCTCAAAGTAGTCCTGCAAACCTGCCAACAGAGATGAGCTGACAAATTTTCCTCCTCTTTTAGAGTCACAGTGCACAAAGTCCTCTGATGAAAAACCAGAAGGAAATAAAGAACAGATTCCTAAATTTTAGAGAGACTAAATGAGGACATTTCCACAAATACCAAGTATTGGTAAATGCGCAGAACCTGCAACTAGGGAATTCTGTGCTGTTCTATGCACCATCACCATCCAACTGTGTGTCCATGGCCAAGTCACTCATAATGTTCTGTGGTCTACTTTTCTCTAACAGAAAAAAAAAAAAA